GGTTCAGATTTCAGATTTTCTTTTCGTTTAGTAACACGTTTTTAAACTCACTTTTTTGACAGTTGTAATTTTTAGAAGTAATTTTGTAGCAATTTCATTTGGTTGGTGGCGGTGATATTATTGTCGTCCGAATATTTCGGATAGACTTGTGTATTTTCATTATTGTGATAGTGGAGATTGTGATTGGATTAGGTCCCATGATTTTTTCCAATTGGGTTTTCCAAGTAAAAATCTTGGTGTCATGTGCTTTCTATTTTTCTTGCATTTTATTATTACTGCGGACCTTATTACTTGGTGATTTGATTTGTTCCTGTTTTAACTGATACTTGGGGAAAGAGAAATTTATCTTGGGCTAACTCTAATATTGTGTGCCTGTACTGGTACCGCTTTCCCAATAAGTGATATCAGAGCAGTCAGGTTAGACTGCTCATTTGTACTGGTTAAAAATGGATGATTCGGATAGTGGTTGCATGATAAAATTGAATGCCACTAATTATTCAATTTAAAAGCCCAGAATGGAAGACAACTTGTATTGTAGAGATTTGTTTAAACCTGTTCTAGGGGATAAAGGCAGACTAAGTGATATGAGTGATGAAAAATGAGTTGTTATGCACAGAAAAACTGTTGGTAATATTAGAAAATGAATTGGTCAAACTATTTTTCAACATTTTGCTAATGACACCAGAGCTGATGTATTATGGAAAAATGTTGAGAGTACGTATGAAAGGAAAATCGGATTGAACAAAACTAGTTGTCTAAAGCAGATTACTCGGATGAGATATAAGGATGGGGAAGATATGACTGAACACCTGAGTAATTTTCAGGGATAGATAATCCAGGCAACTACGTTAAATTTGAAATTGGATGATGAAGTGCAAACTTTACTATTATTCAGTTCACTACCGGATAGTTGGGAAACTATGGTGGTCTCCGTCAGCAATTCAGCTCCAAATGGTGTGTTGACCATGACTATTGCAAAAGAGGCCGTGATGAATGAAGAGTTCAGGAGGAAGGAACAAGGAATTGTCTATAAGTCCTAAACCCTGGTGACAGAAAAGAAAGAAAGAAAAGGGAGAAGCAAAAGTAAAGGACCCCACAACAGGAATGACAAATCCAAAGGCAGGTCTGAGTCGCGAAAAAATATTGCATACTATTATTGTAAAAAGAATGGATATTATATAAAGGAGTGCATAATTCTAAAACGGGAACAAGTTGAAAAAAAGGGTAAGACGAAGGAAAAAAATGATGAAGAAACTACAGCAGTTGCGGCAGCTCATGATAATATATTTGTGTTCTGTGATAATGGTCAGGTGAATATTATTCATTATGATAGTGATTGGGTAGTTGATTCAAGTGCATCCTACCATGTTACTCCTCACAGGCACTTCTTCTCAACCTACACCGAAAGAGATTTTGGATATGTTAGGATGGGAAATGAGGTCTCATGCAAAGTTGTTGGCATGGGAGACATATATTTGGATACAGATACCGGGTGTTAGCTAATATTAAAAAATGCTCGACATGTCCCTAATATTCGCCTTAATCTTATCTCTACAGGAAAACTTGACGATGAGGGTTACCATAGTTTGCAAGGTGGAGGCAAATGAAAACTCAGCAAAGGAAATCTCGTTGTTGCTAGAGAAAAGAAATAGAGTACCCTCTACTTGATGCAAGCCAAGTTGGGGAAAGGAGAAGTCAATGCAGTTCGTAATTCATCAATTGACCTGTGGCATAGGCGACTTGGGCATATGGGTGAAAAAGGGATTTAGACACCTACCTGAAGTTAGAGGTAATACACTTAAACCTTGTGTTGACTGCATTTATGGGAATCAACATAGAGTTGCATTCAAAAATTTTCTTCCATCTACAAAATTGAATCCATTAGAATTGGTGCACACTGATATTTGCTATATGAAAGATAAGTCTCTTGGTGGTGCTATTTATTTTGTAACTTTTATTGATGACTTTGCTAGAAAAGTTTGATGTTTTGCTTTGAAATCCAAAAAAATAGGTTTTGGATGTGTTTAAAGATTTTCACAGTAAAATTGAAAGAGAGACTGACAAACAGTTAAAGTGTATTCGTGCTGATAATGGTGGTGAGTACAGAGGACCATTTGAAATCTATTGCAAGTCCCATGGAATCAGATTGGAGAAAACTGTACCAAAAACTCCTCAAGAGAATGGAGTAGCAGAGAGAATGAACAGATCCATCACTGAGTGGGTCAGATGTATGCTCTCTAATGCTAAATTGCCAAAACCCTTTTCGGGTGAGACAATGAGGACTGCAGTTGATTTGATAAATCTTTCTCCATCAGTTCCTCTACATGGTGATATCCCAAAGAGGGTATGGACAGGAAAAGACGTGTCCTTTATGCATTTGAGAGTTTTTGGTTGTCGGGCATTTGTTCATATTCCCAAGGATGAGAGGTCAAAACTTGATGTAAAATCAAAACAATGCATTTTTTTTGGGTTATAGACATGAAAATTTTGGTTATAGATTCTATGATCCTATTAAGAAGACGGTGATCAGGTGTAGAAATGTTGTCTTCTTTGAAGATCTAACCACTGAAGACATTGATAAAGGTGATAATTCAAAATTCTCAAATGACATTCCTGTTAGTTCAAATTTAGATCCAGATCCAATTCCAGTATCTATTGATTTTAATCAAGGGGGAGTTGAGATAGAGCAGAAAGAGGATGTTAATGATGGTGATAATCCTACTACTGATGAACCTGAGCATGAAGCACCACCTACTCCACCACCGCCACCACAAAATGAGATTAGGAGATCTACCAGAGAGAGGAGACCTTCTACCAGATATAATTATCATGAATATTTGTTGTTAACAGATGGAGGAGAGCCAGAGTCCTACAGTGAGGCTTTAGAGCATGAGAACAAAGAAGATTGGTTGTAAGTCATGCAAGAGGAGATGTGTCCATGCATGAGAATCATACTTATGATTTAGTGAAAATGCTTAAAGGTAAGAGAGTTCTGAAAAATAAATGAATCTACAAGTTGAAGGCTTAGGAGCACAGCTCACAACCAAAGTACAAAACAAGATTGGTTGTGAAGGGATTTAGTCAAAAGAAGGGTGTAAATTGTGCAAAAATCTTCTCTCCTGTGGTAAAATGTCATAAATTCGAGTTGTTCTTGGTATTGCAGCCAATTTGAATTTAGAGATCGAACAACTTGATGTGAAAATAACCTTCTTACATGGCGACTTGGAAGAGGAGATCTACATGGAGCAACCGGAGGGGTTCAAAGAAAGTGGTAAAGAAAATCTTGTATGCCGTTTCAAGAAGAGTTTGTATGGGTTGAAACAATCACTGGGACAGTGGTATAAAAAGTTTGACTCCTTCATGACAGACCATGAGTACTACATGACTACATCTAATCACTGTATTTATGTAAAAAAATTTTCAGATGGTGATTTTGTTATTCTCTTGCTATATGTTGATGACATGTTGATTGTTGGCCTTGATACTATAAAAATTGACAGGTTGAAAAATGAGTTAAGTAAATCCTTTGCAATGAAGGATTTAGGCCCGGCTAGATAGATACTGGGGATGAAAATCTCACGTGACAGGCAAAATGGGAAGCTCTGATTGTCTAAAAAAAAATATATTGAGAAAGTGTTCAACAGGTTTAACATGAGCAATGTTAAGGAAATCTCAACTTCACTTGCAGGTCAATTTAAATTGAATATCAAATAATGTCCTACAAGTGAGAAAGATAAAGAAGACATGAAAAAGGTTCTTTATACTTCGGCTGTTGGTAACCTGATGTATGTTATGGTTTGCACCAGATCAGATATTGCTCATGCAGTTGGAGTAGTCAGTCGGTATCTCTCTAATCCTAGTAAGGAGCATTGGAATGCTGTAAAATGGATTCTCAGGTATCTCAATGGAATTTCTAGATTATGTCTATATTTCGACAATGGTAAAACTATGCTAGATGGATATACTGATGTAGATATGGCAGGTGATCTTGATGATACGAATTCCACATCTGGATACTCGATGATCTTTGCAGGGGGAGCAGTGTCATTGCAAAGTAAGTTACAGAAGTGTATCGCCCTTTCTAGTACAGAGGCGGAGTACATTGCAACCACTGAAGCATGCAAGGAAACTCTTTGGTTGCAGAAATTCCTTCAGGAATTGAGTATAAAACAAGAGAAGTATAGTTTTTATTGTGACAGTCAGAGTGTTATTCATTTGTGTAAGAACTCTACATTTCACTCTCGATCCAAACATATTGATGTGAGATATCATTGGATTCAGGAAGTATTAGATTTCAAGTTATTGACACTTGAGAAAGTGCATACAGATGATAATGGTGCTGACATGTTTACCAAATCATTGTCTAAGGAGAAACTCTTGTTTTGCAGACAAGAAACATGTTTGGTTGAACCCCCCAAATGAGCTGGAGGGAGAGATTGTTGGATGTGGACCAACCCATTTGTGCAAGAAAGCAACGCTTGAGGGTTCCTCAAGCTTAAATACAAATAGCAGCCGCAAGATGCTTTCGGTCCTGGTGTGCGAGAAAAAGAGCTAGCCGCCACTTTTGAGAGACACGAAGAGAGAGAAATAGCTAGAGAGAGAGAAACTTCAAGGTCTTGATTGGAGAGTACTTTGAAACCCGATTGAGACGAAATTTTACACACGCGATTCTCTTGTCAAGCTCTACTCATCTACCGGTTCAGATTTCAGATTTTTTCTTCGTTTGGTAACATCTTTCCAAACTCACTTTTTTGACAGTTGTAGTTTTTGGGAGTGATTTTGTAGCAATTTCACTTGGTTGGTGGCGGTGATATTATTGTCGTCCGAATATTTCGGATACACTTGTGTATTTTCATTATTGTGATAATGGAAATTTGGACTGGACTAGATCCCGTGATTTTTTTCAATTGGGTTTTTCATGTAAAAATCTTGGTGTCCTGTGTTTTCTATTTTTCTTATATTTTATTATCACTGCTGACATTATTATTTGGTGATTTGATTTATTCCTGTT